ATGTTTCGATAACAGCGTTGTTACCATCTTCAGACAAAAGTACTGTATGATTTAATAAGTACTTTTGTCTGAAGATGGTAACAACGCTGTTACTGAAACATCACACACAATTTATTTATTTGGATTAGGTCTTATTTACCTTGTGTTTATAATCTATAATCCAAATTGTGCCTTATCATAACTTCCAACCAATAAATGACCTTCAAAACTTAACTTTGCCGTTATTAAAATATGTTGTTTTAACCCTTCAGCGGTCGCAATGGGTAAAAATTACCCAGAAGGAACTTTTCGAAAATATTTCTATATTAAAAAATATATATATTTAAAATATATTCTCAGTACCTTTCTAAATCTATCTAAAGAATATTATAATAAACCTATAATTTTAATTATATGACATATATTCATTTTATTAGCATGTTTGGGTCAATTTTACCCAGTGCGACCTTTTGAGTTCTCGTCAATGGGTAATTTTTACCCAGCGCGACCTTTTAACGCTTTTGGTTTGGGTTTGCGTAAATAAGTTTCGAGTTACTTTCTGGCTTCTTGTTGTTTGGTTTTGCTGCCCCAAGTGCAATAATACAATCATTTCTTCCAACAATAAGGTAGGATTTATATTTTATTTCCTCTTTTTACATTATTTCACATAAAATGCTTTCAAATGCTGATTTTCTCCGTTATGATAATAATATTCCAAATCCCGATGATGAGGAATCAGAAACTGATGATCATATAGAAGAGAGGAATTGGAGTACAGACACTGAAAAGTATACATTATCAGAAGAAGAAAACAATGAGGATCCAAGCTTCAATTACTATATAGGAAAGGACCAAAAGACTAAATGGAAGAAAGCTCTTCCCCCAAAAAATGTTCGAACTCGCAGTGAAAATATTATCACCCATCTACCAGGGGTAAAGGGTGAAGCAAAAAATGCTAAATCGATATTAGATTGTTGGAATCTCTTTATAGATGACAATATACTTGAATGCATAGTTACAAATACTAACATTTACATTAGGAATATTCAGCAGAACTATAGCAGAGAAAGAGATGCTAATTTGACAAACCTACATGAAATTAAAGCTTTATTGGGAATTATTTACTTTCTTGGGGTCATGAAAGCGAATAAATTGAATACAGATGATGCATGGGCAAGAGATAGTACTGGATTTGAATTGTGTAGAATATCTTTGAATATATTTGAATTGTGTAGAATGTCTGAAAACAGATTCCGTTTTCTTCTCAGAGTAATTCGTTTTGATGACAAAGCTACAAGAAATGAAAGACTTCGTCAAGATAAATTAGCAGCTGTGAGATTGATTTTTGATACTTCTGTAAAAATTGCCAAAAGCATTATTCTCCTTCGGAATATACACTGCGTGACATTGAAAATGGAACACCAAGAAATAGTGGCCAGAAAATTATGCAAATTTCAGGGTAGACGCGCCTAACCGAGTTATGCAAATGATGTAAAATGCGCAGCTCTCGTGCGCACTTGGAGTAAGATATAAGGCAGGAAATTGCAGAAAGGACAGTATTCGTGTCGTTATTTCTTCAAGGAAAATCATTGTAGAAATTTTGTTCTTGTGTCAAAAGACACGTGTAATAACAGAGAATGCCAGGTCATCGTAAACGGAGGCAGTTCAAGCACACAGACGCTTTTACGAGGGGCATGGTGATCGGACTGAAAAGGGCAGGTTGGTCCATACGTCAAATCGCAGCTGATACACACCTTGGTGCGTCCACGGTGCACCGACTGTGGAGAAGATGGTTGGAACAAGGAAATGTGGCAATTTATAGGAATGCCGGTGCAACCAGAGTGACGTCAGCACGTGTGGATCGGCGTATCCTTCGACAAGCAGTGGCGGCCCCACAAGCCAATTATACCGCCATCCTGCAACTTGTGCAAGACACCCTAGATCATTCCATCTCGACCAGAACCATTTCCCGTCGATTGGTTGCTAATGGCTTGCACTCATGCCGTCCGCTAAGAAGACTGCCATTGACCCCACCGAATAGGCGCCAACGTTTGGAATGGTGCCGGGCTAGATCGACGTGGATGACGGAATGGCACAGGGTCGTGTTCTCAGATGAGTCGCGTTTCTGCTTGTCCAGTGATAGTCGCCGTGTACGCGTGTGACGTCGACGTGGAGAAAGGTCCAATCCGGCAGCAATTGTGGAACGCCCCACCGTGCGACAACGTGGAATCATGGTTTGGGGCGCAATCGCGTATGATTCCAGGTCACCTTTACTTCGTATTCAGGGCACTATGACGGCCCAACGATACGTTGATGATGTGCTGCGACCGGTGACACTCCCCTACCTTCAGGGGGTGCCCAATACCCTTTATCAGCAGGATAACGCCCGACCGCACACTGCTCGCATTAGCCAACAAGCTCTGCAAGATATACAGATGCTTCCCTGGCCACCGTACTCTCCTGATCTCTCACCAATCGAGCACGTCTGGGACATCATTGGACGCCGTTTGCATGCCTTGCCACAGCCGCGTTCAGAAGACGAACTGTGGCAAATGGTTGAGAGGGAATGGAGAGCCATCCCTCAGGACGCCATCCGTACTCTGATTGACTCTCTACCTAGATGTGTTGCTGTGTGCATCGCCGTCCGCGGTGGTCCTACTTGCTACTAAGCCGACGCCGTTCTCGCTCTGTATTATGACTATCATTTTGAAATAAAGATCACTTATTGTTTGTCCCTGTCTCTCTCTCTGTCTGCCGAGTTTCATCACTTTCTGGCCACTATTTCTTGGTGTTCCATTTTCAATGTCACGCAGTGTATAACGGTGGATGAAAAGTTTGACGCTTTCAGAGGGAAATGCAATTTCAGGCAGTATATTCCGAGTAAACACAATAAATATAGAATAAAATTATTTGCTCTCGTGGATTCAAAAAATGTTTTATACTTGTAACTTGGAGATTTATTCAGGAAAAAACCCTGAAGGTCCTTACAATGTCAGCAAAAGTCCAAGTGACGTTGTGGAACGATTGTGTGAGCCAATCAAGGGAACTGGCCGCAATGTAACAATGGATAACTGGTTCACCAGTTATTCTTTAGCTCTAAAACTTTTACAACAATATAGACTAATAATTGTTGGTACCTTAAAAAGAAATAAAAAGGAAATCCCCTCAGAGTTTGTCATCAGCAGAGGTAGAAATGTACACACTAGTGTTTTTGGCTTTCAAAGTGAAATGACACTTCTTTCATACAAGCCTAAAGAGAATAAAGTTGTACTTATGCTTTCAACTCTGCACCACGATGCAAATATAGATGATTCAACGGGAGAATTTAAAAAGCCAGAGATGATAATGTTTTATAATATGACAAAGGGTGGTGTAGATATGATGGACGAAATGACAGCTACATATAACTGTGCTAGAAATTCAAGAAGATGGCCCATGGTTATTTTTTATTCACTTTTAAATATTGGGGCAATAAATTGCCAGATAATTAATTTTGCAAATGGCAACGCATCAAAGGTTAAATCAAGACGTCATTTTTTGAAAACCTTATCCTTAGATCTTATTGAAGAGATGGTCAAAGTTCGCACAGTAAGCGGAAGAATGCCATGTGAAATAAAGGAAAAGGCATCCGATATTTTTAATTTGTTAGAGCCTGGTCCATCTAAAAAGCCAAAAATAGGAGAAAGACATCGATGCAAGAAATGCCAGAAAGAAAAAAAAAGGACAGAAAAACTATTCAACATTGCCAGTACTGTTTTGCTTTTTTGTGTAAGGAACACTCTGTAATAATTTGTCAAGAATGTCATAAAGGACGAAACAAGTCCTAATTTCTATGAAAGGAAGTGATAACTTTCATACAAATTTATATTTTATAACCTATCTTCAATATATATTTTTATTTTCATAAAATAGTCAAATATATCATAAATATTTGATATTTTGATTTGTTATTAATAAAATAAATAAAATATGATTTTTATATCTCAGGATTTTATGTAAAGTTATTTAATAGACAAATCATTATTCTAACATAGAAAACAATAAAAATATTGGAAATAATATTTGATTTATTTAGGTTTTAAAAAGTGGGTAAATTTTACCCACCGCGACCTTTCAAGGTATAAAAGAGGGCGCGACCGCTGCCGGGTTAAAGAGGTTTGTTCCACTGTTAATTTTTTGTCCCCCAAGTCTAACTTTAGCAGAGGGGGAGAAAAAAAAAGGAAAGGGGTTGTCAATCTACTGATGCCACCTAGAGTGTAGCGAACCCTGCAAACAATGGTGTTGTTGTTGAACGCGATTGTATTCAACACTTCACCCACAATTTCAAGATCTCTCGCAACTCCTCCAATTTCTCTAATGACAGGCCTTGAACTTGTGCCAACTCTTCCTCCCCCCCCCCCCCCCCCCTCTCTCTTCTACTGATTCTTCCTATACAGTAGAACTACCTCCCTGTATAGGACAACACCTAACTGCAGAGCCAAAGTGTCCTTTAGGGAGAGGTGTCCTCTTACTGGAGAGTTGCAAAAGAGTAAAAATGGTAATTTTGACAATCAAAACTGTTCTTTGTAGAGAGGTGTCCTCTTACCGGAGAGTTGCTAAATTGTAAAAATGGTGATGTTGACAATGAAAACTGTTCTTTGTAGGGAGGTGTTCTCTTACCGGAGAGTTGCTAAATTGTGAAAATGGTAATTTTGACAATGAAAACTGTTCTTTGTAGGGAGGTGTTCTCTTACCGGAGAGTTGCTAAATTGTGAAAATGGTAATTTTGACAATGAAAACTGTTCTTTGTAGGGAGGTGTTCTCTTACCGGAGAGTTGCTAAATTGTGAAAATGGTAATTTTGACAATGAAAACTGTTCTTTGTAGGGAGGTGTTCTCTTACCGGAGAGTTGCTAAATTGTGAAAATGGTAATTTTGCAAATGAAAACTGTTCTTTATAGAGAGGTGTCCTCTAGCACGAGTGTCCTCTCACAGAGGTTCTACTGTATCTCAAATCTTATATTCTTTCATATTTATTTGTCATGAGCCTGCCAGGATTCGAACCTGGAATCTTCTGATCCCTAGTCAGAAATGTTGCACCAAGTGCCCACGATACACACCATTTTTCATTTTAGTTTTGAATTCTTCCAAAAAATATATTACAGTAGAACCTCCATGTAAAGGACAATACCTAATTGCAGAGCCAAAGTGTCTTTTAGGGAGAGGTGTCCTCTTGCTGGAGAGTTGCTAAATAGTAAAAATTGTAATGTTGATAATGAAAAATGTCCTTTGTAGAGAGGTGTCCTCTAGCGCGAGTGTCCTCTCATAGAAGTTCTATTGTATCTCAAATCTTATATTCTTTCATATATATTTTATTGAAGATACACGAGATAACCAAGTGTGAACAGCCTCTGTCTCCTTCAGGTCAGTCCTCTCTTTTTTTTAAAGGACACAGAGACAATTTTATTCACACTTGGTTATCTCGTGTGTCTTCAATAAAGGTCACTGTAATATCTTTCAGAATTATTGTCTGAATCCCGATATACATGCTGAAAGGTACAACTTCTTTAAGTTTTTTGTCCATGAGTATATATATCCATTTTGGCAACTTCAATTAGGTTCTGCAGGTTTCTTTGGTTTTGCTTTTTGAAGCTGACCTATTCAAAGGATGCACAAATTCTGGTTGTATTGGTTGAAGACAAAAGTTTTACATTCTTACAGCTCAATTATATAATTTTAATATCTTCAGCGCCAGATTCTCCCCAATCAACAGAGAGTTGAGTGTTTGCATTCTCAAACATTATTATACATTCATTCCTCACTCAGAATGATTACAGAATATGCAATAAAGCCACCTTCAAAGTAGAATCTTCTACTCTCCCAGATATAAGTGCTTTATCTTTTATAATCCTAGGTGTTTTGATTGTTCCAACTTATTCTGATAATTTTTTGTAACATTTTGTTTATCTCAAAAATGTCTTTATCACAAAAAGACCTCTGGGAGAAAACCCCAGGACTATAATAGAAAAGCTGAGATAATGGAACCTAATGGAGATCGTTTAAACCACTTGAGGAATAAGCAACAACATGTCTTATCACAATTTCACCATCTGAATGTCCTTTTTTTCTTTCTCTCTCTTTCGCATTTTGTTCATAAGATCTCATACAAGAAAAGCCCTAATCCAAATAATTTATTAGTGTGTGACTTTTCGGCAACAGCATTGCTACCATCATCAGACAAAAGAATAAATGAGAAAAAAATATCACAGCAAGTTCTTAAATAGTGGAATGGAATGGGGTGTAGGGGTGCAGCTTTTGTTGTTCATAAGATCTCATATAAGAAAATAAGACCTAATCCAAATATAATTTAATAGTGTGTGACTTTTCGGCAACAGCATTGTCACCATCATCAGACAAAAAAAAATAAATGAGAAAAAATATCACAGCAAGTTCTTAAATAGTGGAATGGAATGGGGTGTAGGGGTGCAGCTTTCGTTGATCATGGCACCATGATCCAGACACACTTTGGTGAAAGTCTGACTTTGCCTGGAGGATCTTAAATAGTACTGTTACCAAGTGTTTAAACAAGATAGCAGATAAGGAAAAATAGTTTTTTTAAGGCAACTTGTTGTCAACATTTATTCTTTTGTCTGATGATGGTGACAATGCTGTTACCGAAACATCACACACTAATAAATTATTTGGATTAGGTCTTATTTTCTTGTATTATAATCTATAATCCAAATTGTGCTTTATCATTCATAAGATCTCATTTTGCTTGGGCCTCTTCATACCTATCCTATGTATTCCTACCAATTACAGTTTTAATTATCTCAGAATTCCACTTTGGGTTGGAAGAGGACTGGAGTAAACTGTTGATTTTTCAATAGCTACAACCTGGGATCGATTTATGCATTGGGTACTTATTCTGAAGAAAAAACTTGCTTTTATTTAATATGGCTGATAAGGCACAATTTGGATTATTCTATATACAGTTACGAGCGTCATCTCTGTCACCGTTTGCTTTTTCTTTGGAATGGCACTCTCCTATGGTTGGCTACGATCACGTGGCTACGATGGCGCCGCCACTACGCGAGACACTTTGTTTTTGACTTTGCCCCCCCCCCCCACTCGCTTTTTGGTTTTTGTAACTATTGTGTTTGAGCGGGTCGCTCCTTAAATAAATGCATATATTAATTAATAACTAAATGGAATCCTTTCTTTCTTTTTCCCAGTAAGAGACGCTTACGGAAGCCAACAGTACATAGACAGATAAAGCACATAGGCTATAGTTATTAACTAATATATGCATTTATTTAAGGCGCCAATTTATAATTGTAACAAATAGTATTTGAATAAAAACATTCAATCGGGTAAAACACGGGCGTTGCCCAGGTCATTCGGCTAGTAGATTATAAACACAAGGTAATAAGACCAAATCCAAATAAATAAATAGTGTGTGACGTTTCGGTAACAGCGTTGTTACCATCTTGAGTACTTTTGTCTGAAGATGGTAACAATGCTGTTACTGAAACGTCACATACTATTTATTTATTTGGATTTGGTCTTGTTACCTTGTGTTTAATATGGCTCTCCATTCTTGTAAAGTTCAACCTCACCAGTAAGTGTGACAGTTATTAAACAGGGAAAAGGTTTACACCTGTAAGTGCATAAGTCAATCTGCTTTCCACATATGTGTAGACCTGTGGTGCACTTTCACTAAAAGCAGTCATTCACTATTTACCATGATTATCATAGCCAGTACCACTTTTTTTGTGTGTACTACGGATAATAAAAGATAATCACTTCGGCCAGTTGAAGCATAATATTTTTAAGAATTAGGAATAGGAATGGGGTAAGTGTAACCCCTAGGCAACCTCTATCATCAAGAAAAAGATAATCAAACAGTAATCCACTTACATTGAAAATGTATCCTGGTAGTCCACTGAAGATATGTGGAGGCCTCTCTCTAACCACTTTCAAAATATCGCCATTAGATTTTAACCAGCTCCTCCATTGTTTAGTTTAGCCATCCCATTTTTAACTTTGTACAAATGAAAACACCAAAACGCGAAAGTCATTAAATGAAGGTCTATAGAGATAATATTTGATGATATCAACAACAAAAAGCTTTATTAAGACAATTTAGTCTTATACGGATTCTCCAAGCACAGAAATGTAGGGTACATACAAGAATAACAGTGGTAACAACAACAAAAGTCCCTGTTATGACCTTTTGGTCTTATACAACTTCTCCACGTAGAAGAGGGTATATACAATAATTAGCAATGCTATTTACAATGTGTCAAGGGGGAGAGAATCAAGAAAGGGCTTGCTGGGGAACTAGAGTATATCTGATGATATATGTGAAAATAAATACATATTAACACAAATACATAGTTACACGATCAGGAGATGTCTTTTTTTCTTAACTAAATAAACATTTTCCCCTCTCTTCTCCAATAAAGAAACTATAAGGAAATAACGTGACATCTACATACAGTCGAACCTCTTTAATTCAACACCCCAAGGGATCAGAGCTTTCGGTTGAATTAAAGGAAGTGTTGAATTAAGGTTATATGATTAGGTAATCATCTAACTCGCTAAAATAATATATTTTTTAAATAGCTTTGTAATATAAATTAATGATATTAATGAAACCATTGTGTGTTTTTATATTATTTTCATGATTAACTTTTAGTATCAGTGACAAAATGGCATTAATACATATTTTAGAAACATAAATAATTGTAACAAATAAATTTATTGGCAATGTGTTTCTTTTCAGTAATATAATCAAATATTAACTCTACAGACATTAAAATATTAAATATAATATATTAAATAATATTTTATTCTAATTGAAAAATATAGCAGTTGAAAGGAAATAAATATGGTAAATATATAAAATTAAAATTTTAAAATATTATTTTAAAATAATCATGAAGAGATCTTTTAAAAAATTCCTTTATAGATATCTGTTTTTGCACTGAAATCCTATTCAGGATGTATTCCAGATGGCATTTTGAAAAAAACATGCATGCCTTTCTTCCTCTGAAATGTCTTTTAATAAATAAATTTTAATGTATTAAAGGCATCCACTGCTGCTGCAGGTGTTATTGATTTTGTGTTTAAATCTTTTATAATAACACAGAAATGGAATATTGAAATAAAATGTTATCATAATCATTGTTGGATCATTTTATAAAGATTTATTTATTTAAAAATAAATTATTTATAAATTTAAAAATAGCTAAAATATTTCAATGTTAAAAATAAAAAAATAAAAATTATTATTAGTTAGAGCATGATGCCGAAATTCCCGCGTAAAAAAACAACAACAATAACATCCGCGAAATTGCGCAACGGCACTGCAAAGTGAAACTTAAACTAACCAGAAACCAAAAGTGCGCAGGCGCGATCGTATCGGCGCCCGCCGATGGCGATCGTCGCCGCCGTAATACCGTTTAGCGGTAAAGTTGCATGTAAAATAACATTCAACTGTCGAAATTCGAATTTTAAAATGGTCGAACTATCGGAACTGTCGTATTATCGATACTGTCGAATTACGGTTTGTTATTTGATAGGCCGGAGGTCGGGACATCGGAACATGGTCGAATTATCGCCGAGTGTCGAATTGGGGTGTGTCGAATTAACGAGGTTATACTGTATATGAATTTAAGTATTTAAGTCATGAATGTTTCTTTTATACATAAATCAAACTTCTACTGTCCTTACTGTGATGAAAAATATATATTTGGGAGGGCTTGGCTCATCAACGGTGAACCCTCCCAGCGGTTTAGCCAATTTAATCTACCAGACCGCCTCTTTAGAGCTCTTCTTCTTCTTATCTCCACTCAAAATCACACTAAGGTATCAAGCTTGTAGAGCTTGTTGATGGTGTCTACCGGGGAAGAGTAGAGCTCATCAATAGATGAGTCAATACAGTCAATAATGTGTCTTGGGGTTGCAGGTTGAGAATTGCACTTAGTACATAGTGGGAAAACCATGCAACCATTCTGGAAAGTCATTGTCCGTAGATGACCAGACTTAAGTCTGGAAATCAAAGACTGTTGTTCTCTTGGGAGGACAGAACCGGTGCTTGTCCCACCGATTATAATA